ATATATATATTACCGGATAGACGTACCTGACTAACGGCAAGAACCGCGAAACCGGTTATGTGCTTCCAGGGAAGTTTTGTCTAGTCAATCATATACTACTTATTATGAAAAATATATATCCCCAACACTTCCAATAGTGTCATTTACCTTCAACTCACATATGCCGCATGTGTAATCATCGATCATGTAATAATAAAACGTTCCAATACTGATCTATTGCACAACCGTCTCTCATTGGTGGAAGAATGGTCGGTTTAACATTGAGCAAACACCAAAAAGTCCTGAGAAATACTTCACAATACTGGTCACGTGCGATCCGAAAAATCTAAATTCAACAAAAACTCCGCAAACTGAGAACATTACATCGTGCGACTGACGTATTGTAACCCCTAGATTTTTGTATTTTATCCGCTCTCACATGCATGATCATCACCATTTTCGAGAATCCAGAGAGCAACTCAATGAAAAACTGAGATACGAAATTTCATCAATTTATCCTTAATTCTAACGAAAATATACCGATAAAAAATAAATTTTAGCTGGAAAAATGTATGACCTGCCGATGAACTTTACCCGTTAGAGCCATTATATAGCTCTGCATATGACTCTAAATCATGTTACTCCAGTTCCTAATCAATAATGCTTCTAATTGATGTTTTTTTACTTAAACTCTGGTGCCTCGATGCCCCTTTCAAGTAGGAATAACTCAAAACATTTTGGATTGGTTTCAACTCTGGGCTGAATGCAGGCCATACCATTGTTTTAATGCTTCAAAATAATGACCAGCATTTATTTAGATAAGAGTAATAGACTACGGCGGTCATACTGGAAAATAACTTCAGCGTGATCATTCAATGCCAACTCCAGCATAAAATACCGCTCTAATTTACGAATATATTCATCAGAATCCCACCCCACCCCACGTAGTTTTTCAAGCTCGATCGAGCCGCTGTTGAAAAGGGCACCCCGAACCACCACAGATTTGCGATCGCTAATCAGCTTACTGAAATACCGCTCTTTCCGCAGATCACATCGGTAGTAGTTCCACGCGTCGAGTTCGTGTATATTAAATTTATTTTCGTCGTTAAAGTATCTGGTTCTGCTTCAAATGCTATACCACAGTGTAATACGACCTATTACCCGTTGTATGGTTATCTTACGCGTGCTGATATTGATCTCACGAAAGGCATCAATTCTGGATTTCCCACTATCGGTAAGCAAATTCCATCGCGCCACAGTTGGCAATGGCTTGTAGTGACCTATTTGGACGGTCTTGTTCCTTCAAGATCATTGGGAGTGACCTCAGCATGACCGTAGCTAACACTACTTTGCCAACCGCTGACTCACTACGGTTACCATACCGAAGCTCAAGCTCGGGATGTCTATCGCACCCGTTTTAAAACTGAGTTGGGTGTATAAAGTCCATGGAGCTCTGTTTAAAATCTCACGATGCGTTTGTTATCAAAAACTCCACATTGATTGGCCATGTTAGGGAAGCTGCCGGTACTGCTCAGGATGGAACGTTTTTCAGTGATCACGTTGATATCGGTGGGCAGATGCACTCCTATAGACGATTTTCAACCCTTTTTGGGTGGGTAGAAAAGCGCATGCGCATTGGTTTAGTCAGCTTAGTGGTAACGATGAACGATTGAGTGCGTCGCAAATGAATTAAATAAAGCCGTGGAAACTTTATTAAGTACTCAGAGATCAGGTGCATACAATACAGTACCTTTTGATTGACATATTACCTTTAAAATGTTTCGTCTTACATATGTATGTTTTAAAGTGACAAATTGTGGACAGTTCATGAGCGTAAAAGAACTGGAGACAGTTCACATCCGCATACTGGACACAGAGAGCACAAAATTACAAGTTGTGTATTTTGCACGTGACTTCTGCATGCATTCTTTTCAGGTCGTGTGGATAGTAGTGGTATCCGATTTTACGTCACCGATCAACTACGACCGTATGATGCGGGTGTGATGGAATTAGGACTGGTATATTCTGCACGCAGCGCCATTCCTCCGGGCCAGTCTCGTTTCGACCTACGAGGCTACTGTGACGGTCAGTGTACGCGGCTGGTGAGTCAGTTGAATGCTTGATGAGTTGCCGATGATATCGCTGTCTTTTTGTTTGTTTTCCTCCGGTAGATACATAGTTCACGTGTGATTCCAGATGTGAAAAGAAGAACATGACTGACAGTATGGGCTTATTCCATTCCATAAACGTACATACATGCATAGTCACTTGCTTACCTACTTATTAATTCACTTATTATTCACTTATTTATGTACTTACCTTCAATCATCCATAGTGTCCATTTCGAATTGGTCTACTTCGGTCTACTACTGTTGATTATACATCAATATCTTCAAAGTAGTGATATCTTTTTTAGTACTACTTCTCCGGGCGAGGGATGCTACAGGAATGGGTGTTGCCTACTCCCACCTTGAAACTCAATGGCCAGGAACTAATTACAGTGGATTATTTTCCGTGCTTAGGTAGTTACGTGGCCCATGACGAAAGGAGATAGCCACTCGCATTTCCAAGGCTCGAGCAGCATATACAGGACTGAAACACCTCTGGCGTAGACGCGACATTTCACTGAAGCTGAAAGGTCGTGTATATTGTGCTACCGTTCATTCAGTTCTGCTTTATGGTTGTGAGACCTTGGGTTTGCGAAAAAAAGATATCCATCACCTCGAAGTTTTCAATTACCGGTGCTTACATTGTTTAGCTCATGTGGAATGAAGAGAACGGGTTAGAAATGTGGAGGTAAGTTGTCAGGGATAAACCTGTTAGCACATCGAATTCAACTTATTAGACTTCGTTGGCTAGGGCACGTATTGTGTATACCCAACCATCATCTGCCGCACCGCGCTTTATTTGCTGTAGCCGCTTCGGGCTGGAGGGAACCACGTGGAGGTCAACAGATGACGTGGAAACGAGTCATGAAGAAATGCACAGAGCGATTAGGTAGAGTATGTGTCACGCGCCTTCCAGGCTGGGGTCCGAAAGACTCTGCAACTGGTTGGTTGGAGATATTGAAGGATATGGCAGCGAACTGATAGCAGTGGCGTTCTAATTGGCATTTCTTATCAAGCCAGAATGCTTGCAACGGTATGTATGCAGAGTTCGAATGCTTACTCCGTGTGTTGACCATAAAGGTTCACCTTCCTCTCACTACCTCAACATAGATTCAATCCGTGTTCACCTTAAATTTTACCACTAAACTTGTATGCATTGCGAATTTGGCAGCGAATAGTGAAGTTCGGCTCAGTATATTTAGTTATACGATGATGATGATGATGATGATGACGACGACGATGATGATGATGATGATGATGATGATAATGATGATGATGATGCATAGTCGGATGAGGATGATGATGATGACGATGATGATGATGATGATGATGATGATGATGATGAT